AGTGGATGAGTATTGTTTTAAGGGAGATCTGATAAAATAGTAACCCATCCTTTAAGTCCTATTCACAGATCATCATTCATACTTCGGTAGTTATTCAGGGTTAGATCAGTAAGTTATTTCAGCATCTGCGCTGGCAATATCTGAGCAATTTTTTTGTAATCTAAAAGAACACAAACACTCACCCTTCACTTTGTTAGGTACACGTGATAAACGGCAAATATCTTTTCAGCAGCAACTTAGTGTGTTTAGTCATGCAGACCTGCTGAAATTTAAGCTGAGCATCAGAACAATGGAGCTTCCAAAATGACAGAAAGACAACAGCAACTCAAATAACTACTCTTTTCAATCAAAGGATGCAGAAGAGCATTTCTGAATGCACAACATTTGGAACTTTAAAGAAGATGGGCTATAGCAGCAGAAGATCACACCGAGTGCCATTGCTGTCAGATAAAGACAGGAAGCTGAGGTTTAACATTATACAGACTCACCAAATCTGGAAAATAGAAGATTGGAAAAACGTTGCATGGTCTGCTGCAACATTCAGACAGTAGGGTGAAAATCTTGGGTGAAAAACATGAAAGCATGGATCCATCTTGCCCTGTATCAATAGTTCACACTAGTAGCAGTAGTTGTGTAGTGGTGTAAGAGACCTTGGCATACATTTCCTGGCATACTTTGGGCCTCTTAAGGCCCAATATACCTGCTGTGGTTGCACTACGCAGGGGTTACCACAATCCAGGGGTGCAAGACCTTCTAAATTGGCAGCTAGCGACAAGCAGTTTGACATCAACTTTAGTTTATGGTGTGATGTGTGAGGCACTGCACAGCAATTATAATGGGACCCTTAGTACCAGCTGAGCATTGTTTAAATGCCACAGCCTACCCGAGTATTGTTCCTGACTGTGTCCATCCCTTCAGGGACACATTTGTAATGGCTGCTTCCATCATACGTACCATGTCACGTACCAAGCTGAAATAATCTCAAACTGGTTTCTTAAACATGACAGTGAGTTCACTGAACTTAAATGACTTCCACAGTCAACTGATCTCAGTCAAACCTTTGAGATGTGCTGGAGCAAGAGATTTGCATAGCTGACAAATCTGCACCAACTGTGTGATAATATGATGTCAATTTACAGCAAAATCTCAAAGAAATGTTTCCAACTCCTTGTTTAATTATGCCACAGAAAATATGGCAGTCCTGACACAATTTGGTGATGACATATGAACCCTGCTTCTGGGTCCAAACTACTCTGCATTTATTAAGGCTGCTGTGTTTTTAACGTGTTTTAATGCTTTGCATCTTGTTCTATTTAATCTGAACAAGTCCCTAAAAAAGTCAGTGATCACTGTCGGCCTCTCTCGGTTTTTATTACCACTATTCATTTTAAAGCTCAGTCTTTAAAACCTTACGATGTAACTACAGCCCAGCCCATGCAGCAGTATGTTAATGACTAACTTTGTATTGTGGATGGATTATCTCAGTTGTTCTCCTGACTGAAGTTTGGTCCGTTTACAGCATCCTGCCATGCAATTCCATTTGTCCCTAACTTTTATAGAGTGGAAAAAAGTTAGCATTCATCCTCCAGCTTCACTGTGCTAATGTGTTTATATTATGCTAACATAGCTGTGTAGCTAGCCACCACGTAGCACATCATTAAATACCAG